CCTAGATATGGTGCATCTTTAATATTAATTAAAGATTGATTGTATCTATAGACTATTGGTTACATTCCTCTCAAAAAATTTTCACTCATATGGAGACGCCACCAGTGGCCACCACTTGCCGGTGGAGAGGGACCTTTTTCGTGCCAGCAGTGCACCTACTGCGACACGGGACCTCGGTTGATAGAGGACCGGTCTCCATGTCCCACAGTGTATTAATTAAAAGTAACTCTCATTAAATAAAATATCCGACCATTGAAACCCTGATCGTTTTTTTCCGAAATACGTTGCCGGTCAATAGAAAGTGCAGTCTATTGACCGGTCAATAGATCGCCAGTCAATAGATCAGTTTGAAAAGATAAGAAAAACTGAAAACACATACAGAATAGATGAAAATATTTAATTTATAATAAAACAACAAAATTTATTGGATTAGGTAATAAAAGTTTCTATTTTAAAATAACTGGATATCTAATTTAATTGTACATATTTAGCTTCACTAAGGCCACAAAGGGAATCCATATTTAGTAAGAAGGGAAGAAAAGCGTGACTGCTTGTCAAGTTTATTTACAAAATGTATGTGATCTAGAAAAGTGCATGTTGAAGTAAAATTTAAAAATGCATATCACCAAAAGTATTTTGTGAATGGTATGTATTGCCTTTATATACCTGAGTTGAGGGTTAATTGAAAATGTTTCTAGATTATGCCTGTGCATGTACATGCAAAAAACAAAACTGGGGAGAAAAAAACCTGTTTGAACTGGCTGCATAGATTTATTTATTAAGTAATTTGAGTGAAATGAGAGATTGACCCCTCTCTTTGTACTTGTGACTGGTACACAGGTAGAGAACAGTGAGTTAACAAGGAGGAATTCGCGTGGGGCATCAGTGAAAATAAAGGTGTGTTGAACTTTAACCGTTACATAGGACAGGTGGGTAGAGTTGGACAGCATGCAGTTGTTAAATTTTTCAAATACCGATAGCAGTGAAGACTATTGACCTCTGTAGATTTTGTGTTTTTAAGTCAAAAGGTATCGTGCTGTCAATACTAATTGATTGTAGGTTATCAAATCCTATTTGAACTGCATGGAATTCTTAGGGGTTTTTCGATGATTTTTTGAGACAGAAAGTTCACATCATCTATATACCCGGTACTTTGATTCAGGTAATAAGACTGTATTAAACTTAATGGATTAAGAAGGTAAAATCTATCACCTGTGACCTGTTTGACTGATTTTGAAGGTCAGTCAACTATGTACATGTACCTGTAACAGACTACCTTGCTGAGTTAAACTTTTTTGCACTGAAAATCAAATTGAAAGTAGACTTTGACGAACATGCCAATGGTTCTACTGCATGTTTAATGTGAGAGGAATTGTATTCTCTGAAACATGAATGAATTAAATTAACCTGGATTGGATTAATGTTTATTTTTTCTATTGATTTTTTTTGGTAGCAATTTAGAAAGGCTATTGTTTTGCATAATGATTCTCTCTGCTTATTATTTGTACTGAAATAGATTCTGTTTATACATTTGCATTTTTGAAATCCAGATGGAGACAATCACAGAAACAGTTAGCTCTATGAAGCTACATTATTCCATATCATCTTTTCTAATATGTGTAATGTCAAGCAAAGATCTAAAACAGAATCTATCTCAAACCTGATGGGACCAAGATAAAATAAGATTGAGATATCCGAGGATTTAAGATATAAAGGGGTAAAAAACATATAAAAGTTAGAGAGTGATTGTGACTGCCAATGCACTTTTGATATGTATCCATGGTATTCAAGATATGGTGTTTGAGATATGGTTGTGTGAGATAATGAAGTTATTTTTATTTAAGGCAGGCATATGCACAATAAAGAACTCCCATTGCTCAGTGGGCTGACTGAGTAAAGGTCTAAATTTTTTAACCCCATTTACTTGTATATAATGAGATCTTTATAAAAGTGGAAAGTGCTCCAGTGATCGAACCATATAAACATGATAAAACAATGTACATGTACCAGAGCTGCCAACCCTTACGATTTTGGCGTAAGGCGTACGAAATCAGCATCTAAAATACGCCTTACGATTTCTCTCTATATTCTTCCGATTTCAGTTTTTCTCGTTCAAAGTTTATAATACCGGTATTTTCATAGCTGGCAGTCTATAGTTTTTACATTATAATATATTCATTATTCTTACAACGCTTGCTTGTGTCACCATTTTGGTTTTAAAAGGCCGATCACATTCATGTCAATGTTTTAAAGTAAAAAAAAATGAAACATGCCTCAGATTGCATGCCCATTTACAAAACATCTTCAGGGGCAGGGGGCCTAGTTGGTCCCTAGACCCCGCCTTACTATTTGTCATTTCAGAATGTTGGCAGCTCTGATGTACAATCAATCAAATGACCATTTATCCTATAGCAATTAAATGAACAATGACAATTTTTTCTTCCATATGCTTCACCAACAAAGATAACTCTTCAAAAGCTAAGCAGCCACTGAAAGCTTTTATGAACACCATGAAAAAAATTACTTTGCAGTATTTAAGTATTTGTTGTTTTTGGTAACTCGATGCTGTTGATGTCAATATACAATTATGGATTCTTTTTGTTGAATATGGTTTTTTAGCTCACCTGAGCCGAAGGCTCAAGTGAGCTTTTCTGATCAAAATTTGTCCGTTGTCTGTCGTTGTCGTTGTCGTAGTCGTTGTCGTAGTCGTTGTCGTCGTCGTTGTCGTCGTAAACTTTTCACATTTTCATCTTCTTCTCAAGAACCACTGGGCCAATTTCAACCAAACTTGGCACAAAGTATCCTTGGGTGAAGGGGATTCAAGTTTGTTCAAATGTTTTCCAAGGGGAGATGATCATGAATTTGTTAAAAATTAATGGCATTTAAAAAAAAATCTTCATCTTCTTCTCCAGAACCGCTGGGCCAGGAAAGATGAAACTCATGTGGAATCAAAGTGTGGATTCAAGTTTGTTCAAATCATGACCCCCGGGGCAAGGGTGGGGCCATTTTACATAGGAATATATAGGAAAAATCTTTAAAAATCTTCTTCTCCAGAACCACTGGGCCAGGAAAGATGAAACTCATGTGGAATCATCCTCAGGTAGAGTGGATTCAAGTTTGTTCAAATCATGACCCCCGGGGCAAAGGTGGGGCCAAAATGGCCGACCCAAGTTTTACATAGGAATATATAGGAAAAATCTTTAAAAATCTTCTTCTCCAGTACCACTGGGCCAGGAAAAATGAAACTCATGTGGAAGCATCCTCAGGTAGTGTGGATTCAAGTTTGTTCAAATCATGACCCCCGGGGCAAGCGTGGGGCCAAAATGGCCGACCCAAGTTTTACATAGGAATATATAGGAAAAATCTTTAAAAATCTTCTTCTCCAGAACCACTGGGCCAGGAAAGATGAAACTCATGTGGAATCATCCTCAGGTAGAGCAGATTCAAGTTTGTTCAAATCATGACCCCCGGGGCAAGGGTGGGGCCAAAATGGCTGACCCAAGTTTTACATAGGAATATATAGGAAAAATCTTTAAAAATCTTCTTCTCCAGAACCACTGGGCCAGGAAAGATGAAACTCATGTGGAATCATCCTCAGGTAGAGTGGATTCAAGTTTGTTCAAATCATGACCCCCGGGGCAAAGGTGGGGCCAAAATGGCCGACCCAAGTTTTACATAGGAATATATAGGAAAAATCTTTAAAAATCTTCTTCTCCAGAACCACTGGACCAGGAAAGATGTCCTCAGGTAGTGTAGATTCAAGTTTGTTCAAATCATGACCCACGGGGCAAGGGTGGGACCAAAATGGCCGACCCAAGTTTTACCTAGGAATATATAGGAAAAATCTTTAAAAATCTTCTTCTCCAGAACCACTGGGCCAGGAAAGATGAAACTCATGTGGAATCATCCTCAGGTAGTGTAGATTCAAATTTGTTCAAATCATGACCCCCGGGGCTAGGGTGGGGCCAAAATGGCCGACCCAAGTTTTACACAGGGATATATAGGGAAACCTTTTAAAATCTTCTTTTCAAGTACCTCAAAGCTATGATTAGTGATATTTATATGGAATCATCCTCAGGTAGTGTAGATTCTAGTTTGTTCAAATGATGAATGCCTGGAGGGGGGGGGGGTGGAGTAAATTCAAGCCTGATGTGCTCAGGTGAGCGCTGTGGCCCCTGGGCCTCTTGTTTTATTCACCAGAAAAATATCAATATTGACTGCATGAGGCAAATTGGTGTTGAATATGGTTTGTTATTCACCAGAAAAATATCAAGACTCTGTCAATATTGATATTTTTCTGGTGAATATCAAACCATATTCAACACCAAAAGAGTCAATCATAATTGTTTTAATATGTAGTCTGGATTTGAATAAATCAGGCATCGAAGGCTAGCTGCATGATGACACCAATTAAGATTTTAAAACTTTAGCCATTAAAAGAAAAAAATGTCCGGATTACAAATTTGTAACCTCTGTGTTTTCCTTTCCAAGTTTTGCTATGTGTAAGATGTCCAAATGTTGAATAATCCTGTGATAGGTTTGTCTAACATTTTTCCTGCTCAAATACGTAACTATAGCTGCGAATATTGTTTACAATGTTGTTTGAGGTGTTGGTTGTAACGTCACAATAACTGTTGTAGTCTTTTTTATGAGCAGACTGCTTAGAATATCCATGACCCCATAATTCAGCATCAAATGAAGATTCTAGCTCTTCTAATCCTAATATGCCATTTGCAGAATCTTCAAGGGCTTTGATTAGAAGATAAGATGATAATAATCTAAGAAGAAGATAGAGTCTGTAGTAATTTATTCTTATCCAAATGAAGGATTAATTTGTAATGTAGCATGACTCTCAAAGGGAATCATAAAAAGTGTGAATTTATTTTGTTGTCATGATTTATTGATATTTATTGACTTTCTTTTGTAACTTTTTTTTTGTCTTATTAAGCTTAGATAGATGAATTAATTTTCCAATAACAATTATTATACCTTAACTGTGACAATGAAGTTGAAGTGACTTAAGAAATAAACAACAATGTTAAAAAGTTCTCTGGGAAATGAACTTAGTTGGTCATGTGATCAAATCCTGTGAAGCCCGAAGGGTTTCTCAGTAGGTTTGATCACATACCAACTAATTTATATTTACATTTGATACGAATGAATTCCACAGTAAAACTGCATTTATTACACGAACAGTCGAACAGGCTACAGTACTGTTTTTTGTGATGCACAATGACCTAGAAGTTCTTTGGTCTTGAAAGTTCGTCTCGCTCCAACATTTGAATATTTACAATGATGTTCAGCAGTCCAGTTCAGGAATTCTTTGTTTCTATGTAAAAAAAAAAAGGAGAATAATCTTACTATTTTGTGACTTCTAAATATATTTGAAGTCAAAAGTGGTGATATCTCCCATTTTAGTTTACATACCTTAAAGGAATTTTGGGTTAAAAAGATATGTGCGATTTTGGCTAATCATGGTATTTCAAACATTCTTCACACCAAAGGAAGATCTATTGAACATCTGTGGAATCAAAAATATCTCTATGTTTCAGTTATTTTATTTTTTTCATCGCTTTTAAGTTTAATGTGGTAGTTCCGAAACCAGACAGAAATATTGTGTAAATAAGACATCATCTCGCTGAGTGATTCAGTTGTGCTATGACCTCTAACCCCCAAATAAGTTCATAGAGAATTGAACATATTTTCTCTTCAATAGGTTCATCTAAGAAAAATATTTGCAAATGTAGATATTGCTTTAAGACCAACCACAAAATTGGTACACAATGTTAATATTACATGTACTGGTATTCCCCTCACTTTGACCTAGCTTCTTCCACCATTGAATTTCATGGACCCTGGCCACTAACTAAATCAACATAGTTATGATGAGCAAGGGTACCTCTTCTGAAATAGTAAATTGGTAAGAACTATATAGGTTCTGATGTAAGTGCAAGGCTCTATTGATAATAAAAATGCATAAATGCTTTGAAAATCTTTTCCACAATCTGCTCCTGGGTATTATGAACTAAGTGTATTTTTATTTTTTATGATGAATAAGGATTGAGCTTCTTCCAAAGTTGTGAAACATGTGACCAGGGTTAGGGTCTCACTGGGTGGGGCTCTGTAATTTGATTATATAGCTAAAATGCATTAATGCTTTTGAAATCTTCTCTGCACCTTGGTGTAAAAGAAACAAACTAAATGCATAGTTATGATTAGCAAGGGTGCCTCTTCCAAAATTGTGAAATATGTGATCCCAAGGTCATGGATTTTTCAATGGTTTGGGGGCTCGACTGATTATAGAGAGAAAATACATTATTTCTTAATTTTCTTTTATAATCCTCTGCTTTTGGGTGTTAAGTAAACAAAATACTAGTAAGTGTATAGTTATGATAAGCAAGGTGTATAGCTATGATAAGCAAGGATGATTCTTTCAAAATTGTGAATTTCATGGCCTCCAGCTGTTTTAAAAAATGAACCGAATTCAATTGTGGGAAAGTTGTTTGATAGTCAGGTTACCTATAAGGCCGGTGTTCCTCTTGTTACAAAAATTTATTATGCCCCACCATGAATATAGCCGGGGCATATAGTGTTTGTCATGTCCGTCTTCTGTCTTTCCATCCTTCTGTCCTTCCGTCACACTTTGCGTTTAGCTCTGTTCAAAGCTCAGTTTCAAAGAAACTATCCAAGATATTTTCATCAAACTTAATATGCTGATAGATATTGATGAGAGCTATGCAACTGCATCAACATTTTTTTACCTTGACCTTTCCTTTGACATTGATCTCACTTTTCTTAGATTAGTGTTTAGCTTAGTTTTTAACATACCATTCAAGATGGTGTTATCAAACATCACATGTTGATACATACTGATGAGAGCTATTCAACTGCATCACCATTTGTAACCTTGACCTTTCCTTTGACCTTGACCTCACTTATCTTTAATCAGTGTTTAGTTCAGTTTTAAAGATACCATTCAAGATATTTTTATCAAACTTAATATGTGTTACATATTGATGAGAGCAATTCAACTGTATCAACATTTTTGACCTTGACCTTTCCTTTGACCTTACTTTCCTAAATCAGTGTCAAACTTGATATGCTTATACATACTGATGTAAGCAATTCAACTGCATCAACATTTTTGACCTTGACCTTTTATTTGACCTTGTTCTCACTTTTATCAAATTGTGTTTAAGCCAGTTTTGTTATCACAAAGTCAGAAAACAGTCATTTGTGTCTATGTTATAATTCATCCCAAGATTGTTAGATTTTTAAAATCATTTTGGTGCTGTTATTCACATGACTTTCTCAATATGCTGATTTGTCTGGTCCGACAAAACATTTGACTTTGTCAGACCAAATGTCTGACAGTGAGCAATTCAAGTCAGTTTTAATGAAAGAGATAATTCATTTTTGACCAATTCAACTGTACCTTTTTGACTTGACCTTTCTTTGACCTTGACCTTACTTTTCCTAAATCATTGTCAAACTTCATATGCTTATACATAATGGTGTAAGCAATTCAACTGCATCATCATTTTTTACCTTGACCTTTTATTTGACCTTGTTCTCACTTTTATCAAATTGTGTTTAAGTCAGTTTTAATGAAAGAAATAATTCATGATATTTTTATCAAACTTAATATGCTGTTACATACTGATTAGAGCAATTCAACTGCATCAACATTTTTTACCTTGACCTTTCCTTTGACTTTGACCTCACTTTAGTGAAATTAGTGTCAAACTTCATATGCTGATACATACTGATGTAAGCAATTCAACTGCATCAACATTTTTGACCATGGTCTTTTACAGTAAAACTCGGTTATAGCGAAGTCCTAGGAACCTTTGAATTTAATTCGCTATATCCGTAATTCGTTATATCCGTATAACGAATTTGTATAAACATTTATAGCGAGTTTGCAATATGAATGTTTTCCTTCAAGTATTACTACCAAATATGTTAGGGAAGCAAAATATTACAAAACATACCTTTGATAACTAAGGTTTTATTATGAATTAAATTTTATATACAAATGCTACAAGAAAATAAAGTCAGCTCAATTTAGCAAATTTAAAGATCTTTCAATGTTTGTTATAAAAGATGTAAATTTCATTATATTTAACCTCATTGGGGATCAAAATGAGTTCGCTATATCCGTAAATTCGTTATATCAGATTTCGTTATAACCGTAAAATTTTACAAAGATTTTTTAAGAATTTTGCTGGGGACCCAGAAAAACTTCGCTATATCCGTGAATTCGCTATATCCGTGTTCGTACTAGTGATGGGGAATCGGAAAAAAATCAGAATCGACTATCGGTAATAATCGGCTGGGCATAATCGATTAATAATCGATTATAATCGAAATTTTGAACTTTAATGAAATTGATATAGAAAAGTTAAAACTTATTCAGATTTCTATTTTCCATTTACTTACATAAAATATTCAAAAATGTCAACTGAAATATCTTTTTTAAAAAGTGGCAAATAATATTTTGTTTACTTTAAACAATAGGACTATTGAAACAGAATGGGAATTTATATATTTTTTTTTTTTTTTTTTTTTACAAAATCCATGCAATGGGTATTTTACTGATATTAGTCCCACCTTTCATTTAATACATGTATTTATTTCTTAAAATTAGTTTTAATTAGTTAAAATTGCAAGTTTTAAAAGTAATTAGCCAGAGGTTAGACTTGTATTTATAATTATAATTACGTTTAAAGATTGACTAGACTAATTATGTTTTCCTTTGTATAGTAAAACCTTGCAATATTACCGTTTCCTGGTATTAGTCTAACCCCATATTTAATCATGGCGGTAAAAGTATCAATAAGACACGGAATCCTTCCATAACATTTATCACTACTTTTATGCTCTTTGCGCTTGGATTTGGTAATAAAATTAAAGTATGACAATTTTATTTTTTGTTAGCGATGTCGGCGACATTTATTTTATAATCGATTAGTAGCATCGAAGAGCTTCTAACGACCGACAATCGATTGTCGGCGACAATCGTTCCATCACTAGTTCGTACTAAGTTTTACTGTATTTGACCTTGACCTCACTTTTATCAAATTGTGGTTAAGTCAGTTTTAATGAAAGAAATAATTCTTGATATTTTATCAAGCTTCATATGTTGATACATATTAATGAGAGATATGCAACTGCATCAACATTTTTTTTTTCCTTTGACCTTGACCTTACTTTTCCTAAATCTGTGTCAAACTTCATATGCTGATGCATACTGATGTAAGCAATTCAACTGCATCAACATTTTTGACCTTGACCTCACTTTTAACAAATTGTGTTTAAGTCAGTTTTAATTAAAGAAATCATTCTAGATATCAAACTTCATATATTGATACATATTGATGAGAGATGTGCAACTGCTTCAACAGTTTGACCTTGACCTTTCATTTGACGTTGACCTCACTTTCCTAAATCAGTGTCAAACTTCATATGCTGATGCATACTGATGTAAGCAATTCAACTGCATCAACATTTTTGACCTTGACCTATTATTTGACCTTTACCTCACTTTTATCAAATTGTGTTTAAGTCAGTTTTAAAGAAATCATTCTTAGGCTAGATATTTTTATCAAACTTCATATGTTGATACATATTGATGAGAGATATGCAACTGCATCAACATTTTACCCTGACCTTTGCTTTGACATTGACCTCACTTTTATCAATTTGTGTTTAAGTGAATTTTAAAGAAACCATTTATGATACTTTTTCAACTTCATATACTGATACATACTGATGAGAGCTTTTCAACTGCATCAACAGTTTTTGACTTTGGCATTTCCTTTGAACTTGACCTCATTTTAATGAAATTATCGTCAAACTTCATATGCTGATATATACTGATGTAAGCAATTCAACTGCATCACTGTTCAAGATATTCTGATCAAATTTCTTACACCAATACAAATTTTCCTGTTACATTACTAATATACCCTTGGCAGGGCATTCATGTCCTATGGACATATTTCTAGTTTATTCAAATTTTAAAATTAAATTAAGCTAAATGAGAAATGTTTTGGTGTTTATAGTATTCAAAGTGTGGCTCGATCTGTATTCCATCACACCGAGACAAGGGTTTTCGTGTGTTTTAGGGGATTGAATGTTGTACATAGATTTAGAATTGATTTCCTATAATGAAAATTTTATACTAATTTACCTATGTGTACATGTATAGCTGTGTAAGTTTATATCTTTCACTAATAGTACATGTATTCAATATTGATGAATATAACTTGTACAAAGTCATATCACACTTACTACAAAGGCTACAAAATACATTAATTGTCCTAGGTCACATCAATCTTTGAGTTTTAAATTGATTTTCCCATGCTGAAGTTTGATGTGTGGGCTGATCCCCTCCTTGGAACTCTGACGCTTTAAAGCTGTACATTCTAGTAAATTAATGAAATCAATAATGTGTTACCCAAAAACTGAGAATCCTCCAGACTTCTGTTGAATTCTTGAAGATAAATGACAGTCATA